ACTCAGCAGCCCATAACAACAACAACAACATATATTTTAAAAGAATAATGCACAAAATCATTGTAAATATGTATTTACAGGCACATAACTGTATAAATATGTGATTTGTGACAGTAGCAACATAAATGGTGTGGGTCCAATATGAGCAGAGGTTTTAGATTAGTAATAACTTCAACTAAAGTACCAAAAATTAAGATGTTATTTGTAATCACTATGGAAAATACTAAGGAAATTACTAAATCTGTAGTAAAAGAATGAATTTTCAAATCAGTAATGTTTTATGTAGAGAGGAAGAACAGACTAAACTTAATGCTAAAAGAAGGAAGGAAATAATAAAATTGGCATGGAGATAGAGTAGAAAAACAGTAGACTCAGTGAATCCAGTAATTGGTTATCTGAGAAGGTCCACAGAATTGACAGACCTCTAGCTTGACTTAAAAAAAAAGTGAAAAAACTCCATTAACTGAAATTAGAAATGAAGGTGGAGATAGAACTACTGCCCTTAATGAATAAAGGGAGCCCTAGTGGTGTAGTGGCTTGCTGTTAAGGAGTTGTGCTTCCAGTTCAATATTTATTACACAGTCCCTTCCTGTGCAACTTTCAGCCTCTGATAACACCCTAAAGGGCCAGCTATGAATTGATTCCAACTCTTCCAACTCTACAGCACACAATAACAACAGTGGTGTAGTGGGTAATGGGTTGTTAACCAAAATGTTAATGGATTGAATCTACCAGCTGCTTCTGTAGTGAAAGATGAGGTGGTCTATTCTCATTAAGATTTACACCTTTAGAAACCAAATGGAGGGTCACCATGAGTCAGAATTGACCCAACACCAATACGTTTTGTTCTTGTTGCAGTTTTTTATTGCAATAAAAAGGATTTTGAGAGACTACGTGGGCTGGGCATTTGTATGCCAAAAATTAGATAACTTAGATAAAATGGGGAGGGAGGGAATCGCAGACGTAAATTAACTCAAGAAGAGACAGGATATTTGAACAAGAGATTGAATTCATAATCTGAAAAGATCATGACCAGACAGACTTAATGATGGCATTCTACCAAACATTTAAAGAGCATCAACCATAGGAAGCTCTGGTGGCCTAGTGGCAAGAAGCTGCACTGTAATCCCAGAGGTGCACAGTTCAAATCCACCAGATGCTCTGCTGGAGAAGGAGGGACAATCTCCTCCTGTACCAGTCAGATTCAATTTGACAGTACATACACACAAAAATAATAAAATAAAATAAATGAAAAAAAATTATTTCAGTGTGTGTGTGTGTACCGTCAGATCAGATCTGACTGGTACAGGTGGAAATTGTCTCTTCTTTTTCAGCAGAGCATCTGGTGGATTCGAACCGAGCGCCTCTGGGATTGCAGTGCAGCTTCTTGGCCACTATGAAATAAAAATATTTTTTTTAAAAAAAAAAAAGAACATCAACCTAATCCTTCTCAGACTTACAAAAAAAACTGAAGAGGGAAGACTCTTGAGACTACTGTATATTATATACTACAGTAAATTTTACTTAATGTATTAAAGAATAAAAAAGTCATTAACACTCATTTAAATCAATAAATTTTAGTGTTTTAAGCACTAACATACTGACTTGTTGTTAAGTGCCATCGAGTCACAGGCGACTCATAGCGACCCTATGAAGGAGAGTCTCAGTGCTTGGGTGCCTTTCTTCCTCTCTCCAGGTTCATAGGGTTTCCGGAGGCAAGCTGTTAACGGAAGTGGATGCCACTCCTCAACTCAAAAAATTATCATTTTCTCAAGAATATCTCTTAGATTTTCCTTTTGGATTCTATTAATGGAGATAGAGAATATGAATGAAATAGGAGAAACAAAGAAGATTCCTTTGTTCCTTCTTAAATCTAATTCGTAGGTTATTAGCTTACAAAGTGTTGCTTTTCCCAATTTTATACTTAGTTAATTCACTTAAGGAGTTGTTTCTATATTCTAGCATTCTACAGTATGACAATATAGATAATCAGATAGGTACGGCTGCCTTTTTTAGGAATAGCCTCTTTCCTGATACCTGATCCACAGACCTAGAACTTACCAATTTTTACAGGCATGTTTGCGTTTATACATATGCATGTATGTGTATATACACATAGTTAAAATTATATTAACTGGTACACTTTTGAAGATTTTTGTTTTCTTGATGTTGAGGTGTGATTGATTCTAAAGCCTAGTCTTTTAACTTTGTAGGTAAGTGCTTCACATCTTTGTTTTTAGCAAGGACAGTTATGTCGTAGGTGTAGCGTCCTAGACCATTTCTACAGCTGTAAATCTACAGAAGCGCACTGCTCATCTTTCTAGCTTACAATGCCTGGGGGTGTTCAAACCATTGAATTCTCCATAAGAGGTCAAGGTTTTTAACCACTACACCACCAAGTTCTTTCCACATTCTGTAGAAAGAATGAAATCAATATACTCAGTCTTCATCTTAAAACAACATGGCAAGCCTGTGGGAGACAAAAGAAAAAAAAATAGACATTAATGCTTCAGAAGAAATCTACCTACTTTCTTATTGTAGACTTCTGACAGTTCTTTTTGCAGCATTTGCTGTGCTGCAAGCAGGATCATCCTCTGTTTCACTGCCCTGCTTAATTACAAGCCTTCATTGCCCTAAAATGACATACAAGAACCCTAACACGATCCCTTCTGTACCTCTTCATCCATGTTTCTCACTTGTCTCTTTTATTGCTGGTTCCATGCTCCAGCCACACAGAACCACAAAACTTTTGCCTCATTTAACATAACAGAATATATTGATGATGTTTCCATTCCCGAAGCTATTCTGTGCACCTAAAAGAAATTCATTATTCTTGCCTTGAGAGTCTTCAGGACTCAACTTAAATCTTGCATTCTCAAAAAGAATTATACATTTTCTTCTTTTCCCTTGGAAAGCCTCCAGATAAGTTCCTACCACCAACATTTTAGTTATTAACTGAGTGCTTAACTGTTGCACCATTAGGAGCCCTTTTTAGTCAATTTCAAATGTTTTAAAGGAAGTATAGGAATAAGGTAAACATAAGAAAGCATGCTTTTAAAGTTACAGTGATTAGAAGAAAACATATTTCCAAAGCTGCTTTAGCCAGCATTGATAGTGATATAAATGGTGGGTCAGAGGAATAAATCATTTGCTGGAGATAGTTCCAGTTTTGTAAAATGTACTTGCTATCTGTCTGGGAATTTTTTTCTTTTTCCAAGATGAATTGTAGGTATATTAAAGAATTAAATGGGAATCAGTTAAATTATATCAAAACCGGAAGAAAAGAAAGAAACTCAAACTCACACCAATCAGTCAACTTATAGTCAGACTCTGTTGGGTTTCTCAGGCTGTAAATCGTAATGAAAAGCATCTGCCCATTTTCTCTTGAGGAACCGCTTGGTGGATTCAGCCTATAGTGACAGGTGGCCTTTTGGTTAGCAGCACACCACCACCAGACAGCTGTTTTATTTGCCAAGCAAAGCTACAAAGTAGTCATGTTAAGAATAATTTGGGCCAAATAAGAACACCCCACATTAATTTAGGACTCTTAACCTGAAAAGGTGGTTGTGCTACTACCTATGGGGAAAAGTCCTTTCATAATCAAAAGTCCTTTATTCATCAGGAATGCAGCTTTGTATTCCTGTAAAGCTCCATTGTACCCAGAGAAAATTACTTGGTAAACTATATCAGAAGACCTCTAATGCTATAATTCAACTGTTTTATGCTGTTACTCCAAAGGTTACACATCTCCCTCAGTTTGAACCCATCACCCACTCTTCTGGAGAAGGATGGGAATGTACTCCTCTTAAGATTTACAGGCTCAGAAACCTTGTGGAGGGTCACTGTAAGTCATAATTGACTTATTGGAGTTGAGTTTGAAGAGAAAATATGGAGTAATATTTCTCAAACGTCCAGATCAATGTTGTCTGTTCTGTAAGCTATGGAATTTTAAATATTATTAATTATAAAAGTAAAAACAGATAAAATTCTAATAATGCATTTAACTCAGTATATAACAATATTTCAGTTTAATAATTTAAAAATTAAGGATATGTTCTCATTTTTTATACTTTTTTTATACTTTTATAATGAAAAAATGACTTAAAGTGATGGAATCCATTTAACACATTCTCAAATGTAAGTTGAGGTGATGTTTTAACTCAAGTATACATAATGAGTTTTTATTTAGGAAATATAGTATTTAGGAAAATGTAAGGTGTGCCAGATACAGGCCATGGTCTTTGTAATTACTTGCTGTGCATCAGAGAGCTGGACAATGTCTAGGGATGTTAGGAGACTTGATGCCTTTGAGCTTTGGTGTTGGAGAAGAGTAGTGAATATACCATGGACTGCTAGGAAAACAAACAGGTTTGTCCTAGAGAGGGTGAAGCCAGGCTGCTCTTTGGAAGCAAGGATTTTTGAAGCTCCGTTTGACATATTTGGGCATGTTGCAAGATGGGATCAGTGCTTGAAGAAGGGATGTCGTGCTTGGGAAGGTGGAGGGACAGCATAGGAGAGGAAGACCCTCAGTGAGATGGATTGATTCCGTCACTAGGGTAATGGGGATAGGCGTGTCGGAGACAATGGATAGAGCAGGGTTTAGGGCTGTTGTACATAGGGTTGCTATGAGTCACAGGAGACTCAACTGGCACATAACACCAACATTTGGAACTTGACTGAGCACATAAATTATCTAAATATTAATATAACTTGAGTCTTTGTTTCAAAGTAAAGTTTATTTATTGACTTCACAAAGGAAAATTTGCCTCTATTTGTTTTATTCCTCTTACTTTGGCTGAAATCTGATCTCCAGAAAAATGAAGTAATACTTTTTTAGGAAGTCCACATTATAGATGTGTAATCTTTTTAAAACCTAGTCTCATAAGGTTGAATAACTCCTATAACTCATATTTCTTCTCTTTATTTCAATCAAGATTTACTATTTTTATATAGTGATACACTGTATTGTTATTTTGATGAATTCTTCTTCTCATTTTAAGGTTATTCTGGTACAAGTTAACCCAGGGGAAGCATTTACAATAAGAAGAGAAGATGGACAGTTTCAGTGCATTACAGGTAAGAACACTCAAAAGAAAAATCTCTGCCTCACCACTATTACAGTAGACACTCTAGTGGCAAATGAGTTCAACATGGGCTGTTTACCTAAATGTCTATAGTTCCAACCCATGAGCCACGTTGCGGGAGGAAGAAGAGGCAGTCTGCTAGTGAAGCTTTTCGACTTCAAAACTCTCCTGTCAGGTCACTATGAGTTGAAATCAAGTCAGCTGCAGAAGTTACCATCACTCTAAAACATAAGTTCCAGCCTTATGACTTAACTATCACAACAGAGATTGAATTCGTCCTTTCGGTTTCTTAATTACTCTACAGTCATTTTATTTATGTTACCCCCTGCTGAAAACTTTTTGTTGAGTCTAGTTCATGTTCCTTAGTCCTTCAAAAGATTATTTCACCTTTCTTGTCTTACTTCTCACTTCTCTTTCAGTATTATTAGGTTGGCTTAATCACAATCTCTTGAACCTTTTCTTATTAGGGTATTTTAATGATACAAGCAAAAATATTGATGATTATTTAACTAGTGGTAAGAAGATGCACTGCAATTCTGAAAGCACACAGTTTGAATCCACTAGCTGCTCCATGGGAGAAGGATGGGGAGTCTCCTTTGTGCAGTTAACTGCCTCTGAAAACCCACTGGAGGGTTCCAACTCAGTGGTACACAGCAGCAGCAAATAGGATGTTAGGGTAGTTCATGAGGGGACTGTGACATAGTCCATAGGGAATCATGCTACTTACTTAAAAACCTCTCTTCTTCCCATGTAATTTAGAACCTTGGAAACTTACTGGAGAGTCTGCTATGAGTTGTTTCTGACTGAAAAGCAATGAGTTAATAAGTAATGAGTAAACATCAATTAAGTTAATAATTAAACACATGGTACCTGGAACCAACTCTGACATTGTTTTATTAGTTAGGTTTGGGGGGTTTTTTTAGGCAATTAGGGATTATTTCTCCAGCTCATCTTAATGTGTCACAATATGTGTGTATCTATCATGTGCAACTTGAAAACATAATTTTAGCAAAAGGATTATTATTAAACTCTACCCTTTTTTGGACCTCTGGTGGTACAGTAGTTAAAAGATTCATTGCTAACTGAAAGATCTGCAGTTTGAAGCAGCAAGGCTGCCTTGTAAAGTTTACAGCCTTTCAAATCTTTGGACTCCCATCGAGTTGCTGTGTGTGAGAATCAGTTCAGTGGGAGTATGTTTGAGATTTGTTTGTTTGTTTGTTTGATGCCTTTTTGGACATCGTTTCTTTCTGCAATAACAGAACATAACAAGTATAATGGACATAGAATCCCTAGTTAAACGTTGCTCATGGTGACACCAGATCTTCATTGTGATGATTTAATTACTGCATGGTTTCTCTCCATAGTTGCTTTTTTCCACAAAAATGAGGACTTAAGTTCTTTATTCATTCATCAAATCAGTATTCAGTAAGAAACAAAAATGAATAAGCACATACTCTGTATTTTCTTTAGCCCATTTGACGGACTTATGGAACTTTATGAGAAGATGAAATAAAATTTTGTTACTACACCATCATATATATTCGTACACACCTTGTCTCCTGTTGAGACAATCTCATCTTTCTGTGATTTTTATTAAATAGCTATGATAAAAATAAGTAATTTTATAGTTTTTATGTGAAAAATGAAGTACAAGATACTTCATTGGTATACATTATTAGTCACAGTTCCTTTTTGTACTGACTGGTTTTATTAAGATAATTAATATTGAGAGCTCTGATGTCCTAGTGGCATGAAGCTGCACTGCAATCCTTAAGGCACATGGTTTGAATCCACTAGATGCTTCACTGGAGGAGGGCAGTCTTCTCCTGTCAGTTGGATCCGATACGACAGTACACAAGTGAAAAAAAAACAAAAAACCAACCACCAAGCAACAAAAAGATAATTAATAAATAAGTGAGACTCTCTCTCTTCCTATAATTCAGTCCTAGAGCCACTAAACAGAGCAATATTGTGTGCATTAGTGACAGTAAGGGAGGTGAGCTGTCATGTTTCAAAGTGGATCGCCAGGGCCCAAATTGGGTGAGAAATTTATCTCAGAATAGCCTGGTAGAGGAAATCAGAGTTCGAGAGAGTGGAGGGAGTTCACACAGGAAAGTGTCCAGGTAGAAATTCAGAGTTTGTACCAGTTAATGGACAGGAAGTTCTTGTACTCAGTGGTAAGGAGGCTGTCTGCCAACCCAAAAGCAAGTAGTTCAAATCTACCAGCGGCTCGACAAGAAAAAGATGGGCAAGATGAGGTAGACTTCCACGTTGGGAAGATCAGTGCAGATGAGGAGACAGAATGGGGCTAGCAAAAATCTGTTACAGAAAGGAATGGTGACGTAGATGGGTAATTGAATCTCATTACATTCACAGGAGATTAACTGAATAAATAGCTCTGTTACAGATTAGGGAGCGCTGGTGGCCCAGTGGTAAGAAGCTACTCTGCAATCTCGAAGGCACACAGTTCTAGGCCACCAGCAGCTCCACGGAAGAAGGATGGGCAGTCTCCTCTTGTGCAATTAACTGCCTCTGAAAACCCAACAGAGGGTCAGCTATGAGTTAGTTCCTACTCTACAGTATACAAAAACATTACAGATTATGAGAGCCAGGTTTCTTACTGTTGGAGACAGAAATATGGTAAGGGGAAAAAATACTGAATTAATCTTGTGTTGGTTGGGTTGAAATTGGAGGAATTGTTACGAATTCCGTTTTCTTTTTTTATTTTCTTATTTTGTTTGTGTGAACCATCAAATCAGATCTGACTGGTACAGAAGGAGATTTCCCCTGCTTCTCCAGAAGAGCATTTGGTGGATTCAAACCGCATACCTCTGGGATTGCAGTGCAACATCTGATAGATTCGAACCACATACCTCTGGGATTGCAGTGCAGCTTCTTGCCACTAGGCCACCAGAGCTCCCTAGTTTTCCATAAGAAAAAATAAAGCAGTAACAGCTGATGTGTGTGTATATATGCATACTTATATTTCTTAGCCTTGTCCCCTGAGAGGAGCAGCACCCTAATAGTAATGAACACACCTCGTACTCAGATCTTGCCTGTTAAGTACCATTCTTTCTTCAGAGAACTGACTCGTTAAAGAAACTGCTGATTGTAGGTATGGGGTATAGAAGATTTGAGATGAGACTGGAACATATTTTTATTCCACACAGAAGGAAACGGCTCAAAAAAAAATGAGGAATGTGTCAAAAGAACACAGAAACCAGGTTAAAGGGTCTTCTAGCGCTAATAGGCAGATTTTATACATCAAAAGTATGATAGAAATGGATAAAAACTCATTGAATAAAATGAGAATCTATGATTTCATGCAGATATAAATAGCTATATGAATAAATTAACATTTTCATGAGGAAAGTAGCTGTAGTTTCAGAAAGCTTCCCCACAACATATTTCTTTATTAAAGGCAAGAAAAGAAAAAGGATCTTTACATTGGAGAAAAGTGCCAGATAACTATAAAATAATCAAAATTATATGTCACTTGATAAATGCATTCAAAGAAACATGACTTGTTTGTTTTTCCCAAAAATGCATAAGGTAAAAATAAACACCAGGAACACTACTGTTGTTATTAGGTGCCAGCCAGTTGACTACCACTTCCAGCAACCCTGGGAACAACACATATGACCCTTGTACCATCCTCACTGCGTCTGATATGCTTGAGTCCATTCTTGCAGTCATTCTGTCAGTCCTTCTTATTGATCATTTTCTCCGACTTTCCATTTGGCCAGCATGATCTCTAAGGATTAAATCCTGCTAACAACATCCTCAACGTATGTGAAGCAAAATCTCACCATCCTTACCTTCTAGAAGCACGCTGATTACACTTCCTCCAAGACAGACGTGTTCTTTTGGCAGTCCATGGAATAGTCAGTACTCTTCTCTAGTACCACAATTCAAAGGCATCAATAAGTTTCCTATCTTCTTCATTCATTGTCCAACTTTCAGATTCCTAGGAAGCAATTGAAAATATCAAGACTTGGATCAGACACTCTCTAGTTTTTAAACTGACTTTGTTGCTCTTGAGCACTTTGGAGAGATTCTTGACTATGTATTTTCCCAGTACAGAATATTTTTTTTATTTCTAAACTCCTGCTGCAATAGATATTGATCAAGGATTCAAGTAAAATCAAGTCCTTGACAACTTCCATCTTTTCCCCATCTGTCCCCATGTTGTTTTTTGGTCCAGTGTGAAGATTTTTGTTTTCTTGATCTTGAGATGTAGTCCTTATTAAAGGCTGTAGTCTTTCATCTTGATCTTCTGCAGTAAGTACTTCTCTTATTTTCTGCTAGGAAAGTCTTCTTCACTTTCTGCAAGTATGGTTGTGTCATCTGCACAACACAGGTTGTTGATGAGTTTTCCTCCAGTTATGATGCTACACTGGTCTTTGTATAGCCCAGCTTCCTGAATGATTTGTTCAGCATACAGACTGAAGAGGTATGGAGAAAGAATACAGATCTGTTATATGCCTTTCTGGTTTTAAGCCATGCTTTGTTCCCTTACTTTTCTGGATACCTGCTTTGTGGTCTATGTAGATGTTTCAGATGAGCACAGTCAAGGAAGCACTAGATGTTTCAGATGAGCACAGTCAAGGAAGCACTAGATGTTTCAGATGAGCACAGTCAAGGAAGCACTAGACAAACCCATATCAAGAGACAGTCTATGAAATAATTCACCTTCAGAATTTTCCAAAATGAAAGTGGTAGGGACTGAGGAATTGTTCAGACTGAAAGAGAGTAAAGAAGCATGATAGCCACTAAATATGTGTGATTCTGAAATGTATGCATGCATTTGTTAGATGGTAATAAGTGAATCTTAAATGGTTTTTTAAAATTCATTTTAATGAAAGTTTACAGAAACTTTGGATTTCTAATCATTCGTTCATTGTTGCGCTTTTGTCCCTGCCCATCCCCCCAGTTCATGTTTTTTGAAAAGTGAAAGTCTTTCATTGTTATATAATCCCTCCCCCAAGTCCA